CAAAATTTTCTGTTCTCCTGGATGAAACTAAGTGTGGGAAAAAACCGACTAAAAACGGTTTTTATTGTTCAAGTCGAGTTGGGAAGTGGGCTTCTTACATCATCTGGAAACGCTCATCTCCGGAACCGGGAATATCCAGGAAAGCGATCGGGAATGCGCCGCAGGTGCCGCTATTGGAAATACCTGAGGTGACGCGAATTTATTCATTTACATGTAATTGCTATCGGATCTCGTCCTTTCGATGCACAATAAAAAGCATCAAGGACGGAGGAACGCCGAAGACTCCTTTTCTATCGGGAAATTAATCCTTCTCCGCTTTACATCAGTGGAGAATCAGCATGTGGGTGCTTATCGTGTCGTTCCCCTTGCACTTATTCATTTTTTGCATTTTCGTTAACCATTTCCAACCACTTGGACTTGGCAGATTTTGAAGCTCAGTATGAAGCAAAATTGGCTTCAAAATTGCAAAATATTCCGTTTTTCCACCAATTTTCGTCCAAAGCCCTGAAAATATTTCGCTAAGCATCGATTTGTGGCGAGCAAACAGGCTTATATTATGACAATATTGCGAAAAATTGAACGATTCACTTTCGTTTACCCGATTAATGTCTTGTTGGTTTTCCATTCCCTTTGAGGCGTTTTGTGACCATCGAGCCAGTCGCGAAGAAAATTTACATTCGGATGGAATGAAGAAATTTAATCGTAAACGAATTAAATTGTATTAATATTAGCGCCGGAACGGTCTGGCCAATTAATGCAAGAACCCTTGCGATCTAAACGCGAAAAGTTAACGTAAACAAATATTGAAAAGTCAATTAAGGAAAGTAAGGATTTTCTGCTCTGGGAGTTTTACCTGCAAGATACTCTGCCCCCAATGGTTAAGAGCTACAAACAAAAATTGGGTTTGTGGTGCTCAAAGCTTTTAAAGTTTGAAAGGCGCTTAGTGAACAAAAAGGCTTACGTGAATGTTGCCGAGACTGCAAAAAAATGGCCCAGACTTAGCGGTGATTTTTTTTCAGGCAAAGGACGAACGAAACTAAGCAATGCATCCTCCAGCCTCATAATCCCATGTACATTAAGGAAAAGTAAGTAGGAGGTCGGGAATGGCGCCATTTTTACGCAATTTTCCATGCTGCCTGTAGAAGATCTGCACGTTCAACTGGAGGAGGATGAGCATGAGTCCTTCGTCCTGTCTCCCACTTCAAGTCAAGCAGGTGAAGTGGATCCGGACTCCTTCACTGCAGACGATAACAGGGAAACGTGGGGCTCAAACACAGATTTCCTGCTCTCCATTATAGGATTCGCGGTCGATCTGGCTAACATCTGGAGGTTTCCCTATTTGTGCTATAAAAATGGAGGAGGTAATTGACAGAAAATTTTAGAAAACAGTTGGACTAGATTGCAAAAATCCCCCAGATTGTCTAAGTTTAATCCAAATCCCTGCATAGTGCGGATCCTGGATAAGGCATCCAGAAATTGAACTGTATTTCCTTGTGCAGTTTGGACACAATGTTGCAAGAAAGGCATTAAAACAGTGGCCATTATCCGAATGAAGTCAATATTTCCCAGTCGGTTATCAGCGTTGAAGGAATAGGGCGACACTAAGGGCGTAATTAATACTTTTATGACGAACCCTTTGTTATCAGTTCTTGAATGCGTTCCGCGTGAAAAACTTTTATGGTGCGATTTTCATTAAATTGCCTCTTAATGAGGACACATTTTTTCAGGCCACATCCCAGCTCTGTTTAAAATGCTCGGTTGTATGGGGGTTACTCTCAATTTTACCATATTCTTTGCCAAAAATTAGTCTTTCATACATTTCCAGGGTTTTTTGTTTAGGTAGCAACAGAAGCAGGATATCAGAATTTGCTTTTGAAACCTTTCTGCTGGTTCCTGCGCCTTTTCTCTTCTTCCACTTCATATTGAAATTTTTTTCTCCCATCTCTTCTTTTTAGCAGCTCTGCTGTCTTGTCCAATCGCGTTGTTCTACTTGTGCCTCTTTTCACATATTCAGGTTTTTGCAGTTTCGTTTTCTTCGCCAGTTGACCATTTATCATTGACTTCTTTTTTCTTGCTTTGTTTTTTGCTCTTGGAAGACCAAACTGTAAATACGATGACTTTTCGTGTAAATTCATCTTTTAGATTTTTAGGAAAAACGCGTTGTTCTGTTTAGAGAGGGTTTCGTTTAGAAATATTGAGCCAAAAGTGAAGAATTTAAACAAACCAAACAGTGACAAAAGTGACGAGTTTTCCGAATAATTGTTTTTAAACTTTCACTTGTGCTGTTCGGGGAAATATTTTTGGAAAAATATCCAGAAAAAATTATTAGCGTTTTGTCCAACATTTGACGCTGCAAAAGGTTCCAGAAAAAAAAATTACAAAGCTGTACAGTAGCCGAGTGTTCCAATAAAACTTATTTAATAATTTTCACAGAAAATACCTGAAAATTGTCAGTATTTTAAGTAAAAATAATATGTTTTTTTGCGTGGAAAGAATTCTTAATAGAAACTTTGCCAAACTTGGAAAGACCTGAAATTTTAAAGAAACTTGAAAACCTTCAGAGCGATGAGGGTGGCGAATTTTCCACCTAATTTTTTGGAAACTCTTGCTCTAATCGTTTTTTCAAGATAATCTTAATTACTTTCGGTAAAAAACTGAATAAAATTATTTGATTTTTTTGCCAAATTCGAAGCTGAAAAGGGTTTTCTAAAGACTCCTGCAAACCGGTGAATGAGGCGAATTTTCTCGCAAAATGAATTTTGTTATTTTTGGCTGAAAAGACCCCATTATTGTCAGAAACGAAAAAATCATCAGAAAGTAATGTTCTTTGCGTTTTTGATTATAAACTTTTAGTTTTGTGATCGGTTTTGCGAAAATGCGATTTTCGGGAAGAAATGAGATAAGTTTGTTTTTGTCCAGCATTCGAGGCTGAAAAGTGTTTGTAAAATTCCTACAAAGCTATAAATTTACCTTGTAATTTTTTGCGTAAAATACATCCAGATCGTCATTGTTTTTAAGTAAAATTCTACAAAATAAGCGAGAGCAATAAAAAAATTCAGTCTAAACTAAGAAACCACATTTTTTAAACAAACTCTACAGTCTTCAGAGGAATGTAAGTCACAAGTTTTCCAGATAATTTTATTATAAACTTTTGCTTATTCTGTTCGTTTTTTGATAGAAAATTGTCTGATTCTTGTCCCAACTTCGAAGCGGGAAAGGGATTTCAACACTACAATAACTTTGTACAACGCGACGGAGCCGAGTGTTCTAATAAAATTTATTTCATAACTTTTCGCGAAAACTGGAAAAATGTGAAATTTTAAAGAAATATTAAAAATATTATTTAAATGTCCCTTAAATTGCTTAAAAAGCCATTGTTGAGTGACTGCGCTGGTGCGTTGGGTCGGCGCAACAAACCAGTTGCGAAGCACTGCGCCTAAACTCCTAAAACTTCATTGAGTTACCCAGGCCTATTGAAAATGTATCAATAAACTGTTAATTCTGGGTTTGTTTTTAGGTGCATTTTTGATACCCTATACGCTTATGTTAGTGTTCGGTGCCGTGCCACTTTTTTATATGGAATTAATCTTAGGCCAATTTAATAGACAAGGACCAATTAGCCTATGGAGGATATGCCCACTTTTCAAAGGTAAATTTCCATCCAGGGTTCTCCAGAGCCCTCAAGCGTTGTTGGTCTACATTTCATCCTCTTCTAGGAGTGGGATTCTGTGCAGTTTTAGTCGCATTCTACGTTTCGTTTTATTACAATGTGATCTTAGGTGAGCAACCAGTGTTCACACTAAACACGGTTCTAAATGGAAAATGGGTTTTGCAGCCTGGGCCCTCTACTACTTGGGATCGAGCATATCAGCCGAACTCCCCTGGATGCACTGCAACAACTCCTGGAACACTGAGCAATGTTGGGAGCTGAGGTCGCTCAATGAAACCAACAGGTCCATGAGTTTGGTGCTAAACGAGACTCTGAAAAACAGCAAACACACTCCGGCTTTTGAGTTTTTCCAGTAGGTTCCCATCCAGGCTTACTTGGAGTTCGCTAACACACTCAAAAACTTTCAGTCGTGCGGTACTGGAAATGCAATGGAGCGACGGGCTGCACGAAATGGGTTATCCAAAGTGGCAGCTGGTGGTCTGTCTGATCCTCATCTACTGCCTCCTTTATGTGTCGTTGTTCAAGGGAGTGAAGTCTTCCGGTAGGAGAACAGTTTCCGTCATAAGGAAACACCAACTTTGTCAGTTTTCAGGAAAAGTCGTCTGGGTAACAGCCACCATGCCTTATGTGGTTCTCAGCATCCTACTGGTCAGAGGGTTGATGCTTCCAGGGGCTTTAGGCGGGATTTCCTACTATCTTCAGCCGGAACTTTCAAAGCTGAAAGAAACTCAGGTTAGGATGCCCTCACCCCCGAGAGAATTTCAGGAAAATCGCGCCTATTCTATATTTCAGGTTTGGGTGGATGCAGCCGTTCAAATATTCTACTCGGTTGGGGCGGGCTTTGGAGTGCATCTCTCTTATGCCAGCTACAACACCTTCCATAACAATTGCTACAGGTGGGTTCCCAATTCCACTCCTGCGGAAGATTTTCCGACTGTTTCCTACAGTCTTCTACAGCAGCGCCATTTTTGTTTCAGAGATTGCATAATTACAACAGTTGTAAACTGTTTCACAAGTTTCTTCTCTGGGTTCGTCATATTCACCTACTTGGGCTACATGTCCCATAAGCAAGGAGTCGATATTAAATACGTGGCGACCGAAGGTACATCGCAAAATAACCACTCAGCTAAATTTCGCTCTGGAATATTTGCTTGCAGGTCCAGGACTAGTGTTCCAAGTCTATCCGGAGGCGGTGGCCACTTTGCCTGGATCCCATTTGTGGTCGGTGCTCTTCTTTTTCATGTTGATCATGTTGGGAGTGGACTCAGCGGTGAGGTTCAGCAAACCCCAACTATCAAAACGTTTAGTTTACTGATTGTTCCAGATGGGAGGGTTGGAATGCGTCATCACCGGTTTAATGGACGAGTTCTCCAGCTTCTTCAGACAGAGGAAATACGCCAGGGAGATCTTCACGTTGATTGTGATCTTGACCTCTTTCTCCGTGGCGCTGATCAATGTGACCCCAGTAAGTCCCGGAGCCAGTAACAATTGCGATTCTAAACCGCGCTGTTTCCAGGGAGGAATCTACATGTTTCACTTATTCGACACTTACTCTGCAGGAATATCACTGCTGTGCTCTGCTCTGTTTGAAGCCATTGCAGTGTCCTGGTTCTACGGTAAGCAGGAACTGAGTGGAAAATTAAAAATCGCTCCCTTGTAACGGTTGTAGGCTTGGATAGATTAACACAGGACGTTGAAGCTATGCTAGGCATGAAGCCAGGCATCTACTGGCGGGTTTGCTGGAAGTTCATCAGTCCGAGCTTCATTGTGGTAAGACCGGGGGGTTTAAGAAACATTTCCTTTGCTCTAGACATATTTGGTTTGCAGTGCGTTGTTATGTTTGGGTTGTTGTACCATCAGCCACTGGTTTACAACGATTATTCTTATCCCAACTGGGCGGAATGGGTCGGCTGGTCGCTTGCCCTCAGTTCCATAATGATGATTCCTTTAGGAGCGATTATCCAGCTGTGCAAAACTCCTGGATCTTTTAAGGAGGTATCTGGAATACCACTAGAAAACACCACAGAGTTTTAATTGTGTTTTTTAGAGAGTGGCTCTCTCAATATCGCCGGTTGAAGAGCACGAGGAAATCAGGAGGAGCAAGCTGGTGAGACGGTTTAGAGCCAAACATTGGTTCTACATTTAAGCGAGTAGGTTAATTATTGCAGGTCGTTTTTGTGCGTTGTTCTAGTCAGGTATTTTCTTGTTGTTGTTGAGTAAAGTAGTTGGAAAATGATTTTTGATTAACCTAAGTATTTAGATCGACAGTGTAATAACGTGTATAGTAAAACTGAATTTTTATAAAATCACAAATACGTATCGGACCTCGTTAAAATATTTAACTCAACTGCCTTCGATGTTAAATATTTTAATACATGAATCTATTTTTTAACGTAATGTATTCCATGTAGCAAGAGAGCTTGTCAAATAAATGTTGAGTAGTTGATAGAAAACAGTTTTTTGGTCTTTTTCCGGTTCAAAGAAAACGCGTCCCTTAAATGTTATAAACAGTTTATATATTCAACTTCAACCTGATCGATTGATACTGAAACAGAACAGACAACCAATATTGAGGAAATACCGAATACAATAAACGGCGGTTAATATGGACTGACCATAAATAAGTTGATTAAATTGTGTTGATATTAACACTTTTAAATATCGATAAATAATGTATTATACCATGTAAAATGAGTCTATTGTTGAATGCTTTCCGGCTTCAAGAATGATAATGAATCAGATAATTTGAGTAGTTTTTTATTCTTTCGATTATTCGACTGTTTCCAGCCTCTCTTAAACTGTTTCTATTTGTTCAATTAGCTTTTTACCTCGTTGTTATTATTGTTGGAATTTTTTGTGCGCTCTCGACTATTCCCTATAGCCGAAAAGCACTTGACAACATTATTACACATGTGAGGAGGAGTATAGCAAGACAATCAGATATAAGTATCTATAAGTCGAATACAAATATTAAAAAAAACGGGTTCTTTTCCAAAGACGAATGAAAAATAAATATTTTCAGTCGAAAGTTAGGCGTAGCATCTTAGACAAGTAACACAGAGAGTATTATTTTACGTTTTTAATTTTACAAGATTTTGGAATGTCTGAATATTTTCTTCCTGGCGCAGGCTGGAATGTGTCGAGCAAACCACCACTGAAGATGGGCGCCACTCGCGGTTGCAAAACGTCTGGATGAAAATCACCAGTTCCAGCAACTTACTGTTATAAACTGCTCAACAAAATCAACTTTAGAACTGGATAAATTCTGACTGCTTCGAGCGCTTTGGTTTAAGATTAAAGCGGTATTTACTCCAACTCTTCCTCGGTTTATGCGTGTTTTTGTAAAAAATTAGTGCGTCAGATAAAGTTTCTACAGGGCGGCAAAAACACAATGCAAAATTGTTGAAAGTTCCCCATCCTCCCAGTTGGACAGAAAAAGTTTTTCTGTATTTCAACACCACAGGCATCAAGATAGTCCTCATATAAAGAGATAAAGTTTTTAAAGAAAAACGTCCTTGAATCTTTGGCTCATACGGTTTATTTACAGAGCGGTCTTAGAAAAAATCCACTTTTGATCTTGCAGAGATAATTTTTCATCTTAAATTCTGTATATTTTTATTATTTTTTTAGTCTAAAATCGTCTATGAAGTTTCAACATGAGCTCCAGATCGTGAAAATCGATCGACGAGCAGCAAAATTATCGCCGTAAGACAAAAAAGTTGATTTTTTGAGACCATTCTGTAAATACTAACCGTTTCGAACTATTTTCTTTATCTTTAAATTTTTTAGGTTAACAGACAGACACCTTTCTTTGGTCCAGCTAGAAGAAGCATGCAGAACTCTGCCAAATTTTGCACTTCATCATTTGTCATCCTGTAGAAAATTTGTCTGTGAGGTTTAAATTTTTACCAAAACGTCGACTCACAGCAAAAACACGGGGCTCAATAACACTTTAAACAGAAAGTAAATCGCATGAGCCAATCAGGATTTATCCAGTGCTAAAGTTAGGACAAATTTTGTTGAGCAGTTTAGTCGGAACGGCGTGGAAACTCCACTTTTAAAGAGTGAATTTATACAGGGTATGAAGAATCAACTGATTGAAAAACAAGCTGGAAAATGAGTCACTTGAGTGATTTTGAGTTTGGCTCTGTTTGTGGAAAAAATTTAAAAATCTTTTGCAGGCGTATTTTTCTGGATTTCCTTTTTCGTCCTTTAAAACTTTTAACACTTCAGTGGTTAAGAAACAGGATGGCGAAGTCGATATTCCGTTTTACTTTTTTTTGCAAAAATTCAACCTCTTCATTGAAAATTATCTCGAAAGCTGAAATTTTTACAGATTTTATATCTACTGAAAATAGGAAAACTGTAAAAATTCTGTTAGATTAGTGGTTGAGCCTGAAAAATGAAAGAGTTTTTTTTTTAAATCAAAACCGAGAAATTCATTGACTCCAAATCATCATCAAGAGAAAACTAAGCAAATTCTTAATTAAAAAAATTAAAAAAATTTTATCCAACATTCAGACGTGCCAAAATCGAAATTAACAACTTGTAAATGCCGCATTCTCATAGTCAATAACAGTGCAACATCTGGTCATCCACAGAATATGCACTCACAATCATCCATTATAATTACTTTAAAAAAACAACCGAGAGTAAACACGGATAGAAATTTTTTGGTCACTTTCAAAAAGTCTTTTCTTATAAAAACGTATCACAAAAAACACTTAATTTCGATCCAAGTTCCATACATAAGTATATAAAGACAGTCTTTGATAGTTTAGGTGGAAATGGGCCGGAGGTTTTCGTGCCAGCTGCTGATGGACACGAATTGGCACAGATGAAGACTGGCAAAAACACCTCAAGAACATTCCGCAGGATAGGCGAAAAGGCAACGTTAAAGAACAGAGCTGATGTCCTCCGGTTCGGTGTCTCGCTCCTTTTCTTTCTTCTTCGATTTCTTCCGTCGCTTTGAGTCTCTGGTCTTGGGCGACCTTTCCAGAAGAAAAAGAGCCTCGTGGAAATCGTCCGAACTCAGGTTGGACTCTTGAACGTGCAGCACTGAACTAAGTGCACCGTCTGTAGATGACTTTGGAAACCTGCAAGTATTATTGTTGTATAAATAGGAGACATAAACTGGTCTACCAAGCTTCAACAGCCAGTTGAAGAGAAGCAATATCTACTAACCTAAACATTTCCCTTTCGCGCTCGGGTTCATTGGCGCTCTTGGACTTTCCATTATCCTTTCCAGACCTGGGGCTTCCATGTGGAGTGGTCACGTTCGACTTTGAGGAGGCCGGAGTGGTGGAGCGGACCAGAGAGGGAGTGAAGGGCTCTGGAGGCAGGGAGTGACTGTTGTTGAGGCTGCCGCTCGATATGCTCAATGAGCAGGAGCTGAGAGGAGCCGGGACGCTCAAACTGGAGGAGCGCGACTGTCTCCCCGACAGGTTTTGGATCAAACTGACTCCTACGAAAGGACACAATTGCCTTATTTTTGCAGTGGCGCTCGAGCCTATGCCAGCACCTACCTGGCGATTTAGGTTCAGGGGTGCGTGAAATTGAGACTCCAGAAATGAACAAAGTTGGCGACTTGGGGATGCCAGTTTCGCTTTCATACTCATTAGAACTATCGGTTTCTAGAGTGGTTTTCTGGGGACTTTTGCAAATTTTTATCCTCAAATGCGAGGAGAAGCCTGAAAATCCCATGGGAATTAGTAGAGGGATGATGGCGTTTGTCACGCCGCAAGTACCTTTGGCAGTTTTCTTTTGATTATCGACTAGGAACCCTGTGGATTTCGAGAAACTGCCCTCACTGGCGCATTGGCGCCTCTTCGGGCTGTGTTTTTCGCTCTTTGATTCTCCGACTAAGGACTTTTCCACTAAAACGGAGCTGGAGGATCCTCCGTTGCTACTCGAGCGATCGCAGCACGCCTTCGATTTGCGTTCGTTGCTAATTAAACCTGGAAAAACGCCGAATTGGACCAGAAGCTAGTTTAGCAGGAAGCCACATTGTTTACCCACCTATACTTTTATTCACAGCTATTCTGGTTAGATAATTGGATTTTGGCAAATGAGCTGAACACAGTTTCGCCTTAAGGGTAGCGAATGGATTATGACTATGTTTCTTACACTGGGTTTCTTTGGCAATTGGGTCAGTCTTTTTGGTTTCCTCGTCGTAAACTTTGCTTCCTTCAAAAACCGAACGAAGTTCCTCATAAATAGAGCCTAAGTGCTTTTAGAGCTTTACCTAGATCGTCATCAGTCATCGAATTCAATATTCCACAAACTTCCATATCGGCATTAATCGAGTCGGATATGGTGGTGTCCTCCATCGAGCTCTGCGCCTGGCAAAACTCTTCCTCCGGATGCGGATGCTGCAGCAACAAGAACTGTCTCGATCTTATTGATGTGGAAGGTAAAGCTAAAAATCTACTGGAATTGCTGAGTAACGCGAAGCGTCGGCCAGATTCCTCCTACCTTCGCACCAAATCTTCGGGCTTCTCGTCATGCTGGCTGCTGTGATCCGAGTCCAAATGGTACCGAGGTTCATCCGCTCCATTCATGCGAGTTAAGGGTCCTTTGCGGGTTCTTCCGGCGCAAAGATCGCCCGTGGAATGGCATCTCTTCAAGCTGGAGAGATCCTCGTAGTCATCATTACCGAAGGTATAACCTGCAGGGGCAAGAAATCGGCAGCTTTCACCCAGATTTGTTCACTTTTCAATTTGTTGCGCTCCTACCGTTCTCATGAATGTCGGAAATCTTAAATGTGCCATCCTGATTGCCTCTGCACGAACGAAACACCGTGTCTCGATCCGGCTCCAGTCGATCCAAGGATTTCAAGTCGATCTTGTGATTGGCGAGCGACTTTAGGAAATAGTCCACCGTCAAATCGGCGCTTGTTTTCTGGTAGCCTGCAACATGAACGGGGATGTTGAAAATGTGTTAATTACAAGGAACTAGAGTGCATTTAAGCGCTTGGATAAATCAAAAATTTTACATGCAAATCTAGGCCTGGGTAACACTGTGTTGAGTTGCAAATTTGAGTTGTTGAGCGATGAGGGTGACGAGTTTTCCAAATATTGATTATTTGCGTTTGCTTTCTTTGGTCGTTTTTCGAGGAAACCTAAATTTTGTCGATGAAAAACAAGATAGCTTTATTTGGGTTTTGTCCCAAATTCTAAGGTGAAATGGGCATTCGAAAAAGTCTTTCTTGTAACTTTTCTTCAACCTTTCTTGTAAATCCCTCTTTTGAGTTTTTTGCATAATAAACTGGTCTACCAAGCTTCAACAGCCAGTTGAAGAGAAGCAATATCTACTAACCTAAACATTTCCCTTTCGCGCTCGGGTTCATTGGCGCTCTTGGACTTTCCATTATCCTTTCCAGACCTGGGGCTTCCATGTGGAGTGGTCACGTTCGACAATTCTTAATAGAAACTTTGCCAAACTTGGAAAGACCTGAAATTTTAAAGAAACTTGAAAACCTTCAGAGCGATGAGGGTGGCGAATTTTCCACCTAATTTTTTGGAAACTCTTGCTCTAATCGTTTTTTCAAGATAATCTTAATTACTTTCGGTAAAAAACTGAATAAAATTATTTGATTTTTTTGCCAAATTCGAAGCTGAAAAGGGTTTTCTAAAGACTCCTGCAAACCGGTGAATGAGGCGAATTTTCTCGCAAAATGAATTTTGTTATTTTTGGCTGAAAAGACCCCATTATTGTCAGAAACGAAAAAATCATCAGAAAGTAATGTTCTTTGCGTTTTTGATTATAAACTTTTAGTTTTGTGATCGGTTTTGCGAAAATGCGATTTTCGGGAAGAAATGAGATAAGTTTGTTTTTGTCCAGCATTCGAGGCTGAAAAGTGTTTGTAAAATTCCTACAAAGCTATAAATTTACCTTGTAATTTTTTGCGTAAAATACATCCAGATCGTCATTGTTTTTAAGTAAAATTCTACAAAATAAGCGAGAGCAATAAAAAAATTCAGTCTAAACTAAGAAACCACATTTTTTAAACAAACTCTACAGTCTTCAGAGGAATGTAAGTCACAAGTTTTCCAGATAATTTTATTATAAACTTTTGCTTATTCTGTTCGTTTTTTGATAGAAAATTGTCTGATTCTTGTCCCAACTTCGAAGCGGGAAAGGGATTTCAACACTACAATAACTTTGTACAACGCGACGGAGCCGAGTGTTCTAATAAAATTTATTTCATAACTTTTCGCGAAAACTGGAAAAATGTGAAATTTTAAAGAAATATTAAAAATATTATTTAAATGTCCCTTAAATTGCTTAAAAAGCCATTGTTGAGTGACTGCGCTGGTGCGTTGGGTCGGCGCAACAAACCAGTTGCGAAGCACTGCGCCTAAACTCCTAAAACTTCATTGAGTTACCCAGGCCTATTGAAAATGTATCAATAAACTGTTAATTCTGGGTTTGTTTTTAGGTGCATTTTTGATACCCTATACGCTTATGTTAGTGTTCGGTGCCGTGCCACTTTTTTATATGGAATTAATCTTAGGCCAATTTAATAGACAAGGACCAATTAGCCTATGGAGGATATGCCCACTTTTCAAAGGTAAATTTCCATCCAGGGTTCTCCAGAGCCCTCAAGCGTTGTTGGTCTACATTTCATCCTCTTCTAGGAGTGGGATTCTGTGCAGTTTTAGTCGCATTCTACGTTTCGTTTTATTACAATGTGATCTTAGGTGAGCAACCAGTGTTCACACTAAACACGGTTCTAAATGGAAAATGGGTTTTGCAGCCTGGGCCCTCTACTACTTGGGATCGAGCATATCAGCCGAACTCCCCTGGATGCACTGCAACAACTCCTGGAACACTGAGCAATGTTGGGAGCTGAGGTCGCTCAATGAAACCAACAGGTCCATGAGTTTGGTGCTAAACGAGACTCTGAAAAACAGCAAACACACTCCGGCTTTTGAGTTTTTCCAGTAGGTTCCCATCCAGGCTTACTTGGAGTTCGCTAACACACTCAAAAACTTTCAGTCGTGCGGTACTGGAAATGCAATGGAGCGACGGGCTGCACGAAATGGGTTATCCAAAGTGGCAGCTGGTGGTCTGTCTGATCCTCATCTACTGCCTCCTTTATGTGTCGTTGTTCAAGGGAGTGAAGTCTTCCGGTAGGAGAACAGTTTCCGTCATAAGGAAACACCAACTTTGTCAGTTTTCAGGAAAAGTCGTCTGGGTAACAGCCACCATGCCTTATGTGGTTCTCAGCATCCTACTGGTCAGAGGGTTGATGCTTCCAGGGGCTTTAGGCGGGATTTCCTACTATCTTCAGCCGGAACTTTCAAAGCTGAAAGAAACTCAGGTTAGGATGCCCTCACCCCCGAGAGAATTTCAGGAAAATCGCGCCTATTCTATATTTCAGGTTTGGGTGGATGCAGCCGTTCAAATATTCTACTCGGTTGGGGCGGGCTTTGGAGTGCATCTCTCTTATGCCAGCTACAACACCTTCCATAACAATTGCTACAGGTGGGTTCCCAATTCCACTCCTGCGGAAGATTTTCCGACTGTTTCCTACAGTCTTCTACAGCAGCGCCATTTTTGTTTCAGAGATTGCATAATTACAACAGTTGTAAACTGTTTCACAAGTTTCTTCTCTGGGTTCGTCATATTCACCTACTTGGGCTACATGTCCCATAAGCAAGGAGTCGATATTAAATACGTGGCGACCGAAGGTACATCGCAAAATAACCACTCAGCTAAATTTCGCTCTGGAATATTTGCTTGCAGGTCCAGGACTAGTGTTCCAAGTCTATCCGGAGGCGGTGGCCACTTTGCCTGGATCCCATTTGTGGTCGGTGCTCTTCTTTTTCATGTTGATCATGTTGGGAGTGGACTCAGCGGTGAGGTTCAGCAAACCCCAACTATCAAAACGTTTAGTTTACTGATTGTTCCAGATGGGAGGGTTGGAATGCGTCATCACCGGTTTAATGGACGAGTTCTCCAGCTTCTTCAGACAGAGGAAATACGCCAGGGAGATCTTCACGTTGATTGTGATCTTGACCTCTTTCTCCGTGGCGCTGATCAATGTGACCCCAGTAAGTCCCGGAGCCAGTAACAATTGCGATTCTAAACCGCGCTGTTTCCAGGGAGGAATCTACATGTTTCACTTATTCGACACTTACTCTGCAGGAATATCACTGCTGTGCTCTGCTCTGTTTGAAGCCATTGCAGTGTCCTGGTTCTACGGTAAGCAGGAACTGAGTGGAAAATTAAAAATCGCTCCCTTGTAACGGTTGTAGGCTTGGATAGATTAACACAGGACGTTGAAGCTATGCTAGGCATGAAGCCAGGCATCTACTGGCGGGTTTGCTGGAAGTTCATCAGTCCGAGCTTCATTGTGGTAAGACCGGGGGGTTTAAGAAACATTTCCTTTGCTCTAGACATATTTGGTTTGCAGTGCGTTGTTATGTTTGGGTTGTTGTACCATCAGCCACTGGTTTACAACGATTATTCTTATCCCAACTGGGCGGAATGGGTCGGCTGGTCGCTTGCCCTCAGTTCCATAATGATGATTCCTTTAGGAGCGATTATCCAGCTGTGCAAAACTCCTGGATCTTTTAAGGAGGTATCTGGAATACCACTAGAAAACACCACAGAGTTTTAATTGTGTTTTTTAGAGAGTGGCTCTCTCAATATCGCCGGTTGAAGAGCACGAGGAAATCAGGAGGAGCAAGCTGGTGAGACGGTTTAGAGCCAAACATTGGTTCTACATTTAAGCGAGTAGGTTAATTATTGCAGGTCGTTTTTGTGCGTTGTTCTAGTCAGGTATTTTCTTGTTGTTGTTGAGTAAAGTAGTTGGAAAATGATTTTTGATTAACCTAAGTATTTAGATCGACAGTGTAATAACGTGTATAGTAAAACTGAATTTTTATAAAATCACAAATACGTATCGGACCTCGTTAAAATATTTAACTCAACTGCCTTCGATGTTAAATATTTTAATACATGAATCTATTTTTTAACGTAATGTATTCCATGTAGCAAGAGAGCTTGTCAAATAAATGTTGAGTAGTTGATAGAAAACAGTTTTTTGGTCTTTTTCCGGTTCAAAGAAAACGCGTCCCTTAAATGTTATAAACAGTTTATATATTCAACTTCAACCTGATCGATTGATACTGAAACAGAACAGACAACCAATATTGAGGAAATACCGAATACAATAAACGGCGGTTAATATGGACTGACCATAAATAAGTTGATTAAATTGTGTTGATATTAACACTTTTAAATATCGATAAATAATGTATTATACCATGTAAAATGAGTCTATTGTTGAATGCTTTCCGGCTTCAAGAATGATAATGAATCAGATAATTTGAGTAGTTTTTTATTCTTTCGATTATTCGACTGTTTCCAGCCTCTCTTAAACTGTTTCTATTTGTTCAATTAGCTTTTTACCTCGTTGTTATTATTGTTGGAATTTTTTGTGCGCTCTCGACTATTCCCTATAGCCGAAAAGCACTTGACAACATTATTACACATGTGAGGAGGAGTATAGCAAGACAATCAGATATAAGTATCTATAAGTCGAATACAAATATTAAAAAAAACGGGTTCTTTTCCAAAGACGAATGAAAAATAAATATTTTCAGTCGAAAGTTAGGCGTAGCATCTTAGACAAGTAACACAGAGAGTATTATTTTACGTTTTTAATTTTACAAGATTTTGGAATGTCTGAATATTTTCTTCCTGGCGCAGGCTGGAATGTGTCGAGCAAACCACCACTGAAGATGGGCGCCACTCGCGGTTGCAAAACGTCTGGATGAAAATCACCAGTTCCAGCAACTTACTGTTATAAACTGCTCAACAAAATCAACTTTAGAACTGGATAAATTCTGACTGCTTCGAGCGCTTTGGTTTAAGATTAAAGCGGTATTTACTCCAACTCTTCCTCGGTTTATGCGTGTTTTTGTAAAAAATTAGTGCGTCAGATAAAGTTTCTACAGGGCGGCAAAAACACAATGCAAAATTGTTGAAAGTTCCCCATCCTCCCAGTTGGACAGAAAAAGTTTTTCTGTATTTCAACACCACAGGCATCAAGATAGTCCTCATATAAAGAGATAAAGTTTTTAAAGAAAAACGTCCTTGAATCTTTGGCTCATACGGTTTATTTACAGAGCGGTCTTAGAAAAAATCCACTTTTGATCTTGCAGAGATAATTTTTCATCTTAAATTCTGTATATTTTTATTATTTTTTTAGTCTAAAATCGTCTATGAAGTTTCAACATGAGCTCCAGATCGTGAAAATCGATCGACGAGCAGCAAAATTATCGCCGTAAGACAAAAAAGTTGATTTTTTGAGACCATTCTGTAAATACTAACCGTTTCGAACTATTTTCTTTATCTTTAAATTTTTTAGGTTAACAGACAGACACCTTTCTTTGGTCCAGCTAGAAGAAGCATGCAGAACTCTGCCAAATTTTGCACTTCATCATTTGTCATCCTGTAGAAAATTTGTCTGTGAGGTTTAAATTTTTACCAAAACGTCGACTCACAGCAAAAACACGGGGCTCAATAACACTTTAAACAGAAAGTAAATCGCATGAGCCAATCAGGATTTATCCAGTGCTAAAGTTAGGACAAATTTTGTTGAGCAGTTTAGTCGGAACGGCGTGGAAACTCCACTTTTAAAGAGTGAATTTATACAGGGTATGAAGAATCAACTGATTGAAAAACAAGCTGGAAAATGAGTCACTTGAGTGATTTTGAGTTTGGCTCTGTTTGTGGAAAAAATTTAAAAATCTTTTGCAGGCGTATTTTTCTGGATTTCCTTTTTCGTCCTTTAAAACTTTTAACACTTCAGTGGTTAAGAAACAGGATGGCGAAGTCGATATTCCGTTTTACTTTTTTTTGCAAAAATTCAACCTCTTCATTGAAAATTATCTCGAAAGCTGAAATTTTTACAGATTTTATATCTACTGAAAATAGGAAAACTGTAAAAATTCTGTTAGATTAGTGGTTGAGCCTGAAAAATGAAAGAGTTTTTTTTTTAAATCAAAACCGAGAAATTCATTGACTCCAAATCATCATCAAGAGAAAACTAAGCAAATTCTTAATTAAAAAAATTAAAAAAATTTTATCCAACATTCAGACGTGCCAAAATCGAAATTAACAACTTGTAAATGCCGCATTCTCATAGTCAATAACAGTGCAACATCTGGTCATCCACAGAATATGCACTCACAATCATCCATTATAATTACTTTAAAAAAACAACCGAGAGTAAACACGGATAGAAATTTTTTGGTCACTTTCAAAAAGTCTTTTCTTATAAAAACGTATCACAAAAAACACTTAATTTCGATCCAAGTTCCATACATAAGTATATAAAGACAGTCTTTGATAGTTTAGGTGGAAATGGGCCGGAGGTTTTCGTGCCAGCTGCTGATGGACACGAATTGGCACAGATGAAGACTGGCAAAAACACCTCAAGAACATTCCGCAGGATAGGCGAAAAGGCAACGTTAAAGAACAGAGCTGATGTCCTCCGGTTCGGTGTCTCGCTCCTTTTCTTTCTTCTTCGATTTCTTCCGTCGCTTTGAGTCTCTGGTCTTGGGCGACCTTTCCAGAAGAAAAAGAGCCTCGTGGAAATCGTCCGAACTCAGGTTGGACTCTTGAACGTGCAGCACTGAACTAAGTGCACCGTCTGTAGATGACTTTGGAAACCTGCAAGTATTATTGTTGTATAAATAGGAGACATAAACTGGTCTACCAAGCTTCAACAGCCAGTTGAAGAGAAGCAATATCTACTAACCTAAACATTTCCCTTTCGCGCTCGGGTTCATTGGCGCTCTTGGACTTTCCATTATCCTTTCCAGACCTGGGGCTTCCATGTGGAGTGGTCACGTTCGACTTTGAGGAGGCCGGAGTGGTGGAGCGGACCAGAGAGGGAGTGAAGGGCTCTGGAGGCAGGGAGTGACTGTTGTTGAGGCTGCCGCTCGATATGCTCAATGAGCAGGAGCTGAGAGGAGCCGGGACGCTCAAACTGGAGGAGCGCGACTGTCTCCCCGACAGGTTTTGGATCAAACTGACTCCTACGAAAGGACACAATTGCCTTATTTTTGCAGTGGCGCTCGAGCCTATGCCAGCACCTACCTGGCGATTTAGGTTCAGGGGTGCGTGAAATTGAGACTCCAGAAATGAACAAAGTTGGCGACTTGGGGATGCCAGTTTCGCTTTCATACTCATTAGAACTATCGGTTTCTAGAGTGGTTTTCTGGGGACTTTTGCAAATTTTTATCCTCAAATGCGAGGAGAAGCCTGAAAATCCCATGGGAATTAGTAGAGGGATGATGGCGTTTGTCACGCCGCAAGTACCTTTGGCAGTTTTCTTTTGATTATCGACTAGGAACCCTGTGGATTTCGAGAAACTGCCCTCACTGGCGCATTGGCGCCTCTTCGGGCTGTGTTTTTCGCTCTTTGATTCTCCGACTAAGGACTTTTCCACTAAAACGGAGCTGGAGGATCCTCCGTTGCTACTCGAGCGATCGCAGCACGCCTTCGATTTGCGTTCGTTGCTAATTAAACCTGGAAAAACGCCGAATTGGACCAGAAGCTAGTTTAGCAGGAAGCCACATTGTTTACCCACCTATACTTTTATTCACAGCTATTCTGGTTAGATAATTGGATTTTGGCAAATGAGCTGAACACAGTTTCGCCTTAAGGGTAGCGAATGGATTATGACTATGTTTCTTACACTGGGTTTCTTTGGCAATTGGGTCAGTCTTTTTGGTTTCCTCGTCGTAAACTTTGCTTCCTTCAAAAACCGAACGAAGTTCCTCATAAATAGAGCCTAAGTGCTTTTAGAGCTTTACCTAGATCGTCATCAGTCATCGAATTCAATATTCCACAAACTTCCATATCGGCATTAATCGAGTCGGATATGGTGGTGTCCTCCATCGAGCTCTGCGCCTGGCAAAACTCTTCCTCCGGATGCGGATGCTGCAGCAACAAGAACTGTCTCGATCTTATTGATGTGGAAGGTAAAGCTAAAAATCTACTGGAATTGCTGAGTAACGCGAAGCGTCGGCCAGATTCCTCCTACCTTCGCACCAAATCTTCGGGCTTCTCGTCATGCTGGCTGCTGTGATCCGAGTCCAAATGGTACCGAGGTTCATCCGCTCCATTCATGCGAGTTAAGGGTCCTTTGCGGGTTCTTCCGGCGCAAAGATCGCCCGTGGAATGGCATCTCTTCAAGCTGGAGAGATCCTCGTAGTCATCATTACCGAAGGTATAACCTGCAGGGGCAAGAAATCGGCAGCTTTCACCCAGATTTGTTCACTTTTCAATTTGTTGCGCTCCTACCGTTCTCATGAATGTCGGAAATCTTAAATGTGCCATCCTGATTGCCTCTGCAGGAACGAAACACCGTGTCTCGATCCGGCTCCAGTCGATCCAAGGATTTCAGGTCGATCTTGTGATTGGCGAGCGACTTTAGGAAATAGTCCACCGTCAAATCGGCACTTGTTTTCTGGTAGCCTGCAACATGAACGGGGATTTTGAAAATGTGTTAATTACAAGGAACTAGAGTGCATTTAAGCGCTTGGATAAATCAAAATTTTTACATGCAAATCTAGGCCTGGGTAACACTGTGTTGAGTTGCGCCTTTGAGTTGTTGAGCCATGAGGGAGTTATATGACCACTTATGAAGACCACTGTATATTTTAAGGGATAAATGTCGATGCTGCATTATTACGCTATATAAGCTGCGCATTCGACATAGTAAAGTTAGTCTTAAGTTAGTAGGACATAGTGTAATATCTCGCTATTGTAAAACACATTTTTGGTTCGTAATAAACGTTTTTAAAAAACAAATTTTTTACATCGAGAAACAAAATTAGGGCGACGAGTTTTCCAAATATTGACTATTTGCGTTTGCTTTCTTTGGTCGTTTTTTGAGGAAACCTAAATTTTGTCGAAAAAAAACAAGATAGCTTTGTTTGGGTTTTGTCCCAAATTCTAAGGTGAAATGGGCATTCGAAAAAGACGATAAAGAAGACCAAATTGTAAAGACGACAACTTTTCTTGTAAATCCCTCTTTTGAGTTTTTTGCATAAAAGACTCTCAGTTTGTCAGTATTTCACAGTAAAACGTTAGGAAAAATCGCGTTGTTCTGTTTAGAGAGAGATATGTTGACAAATATTGACCTAAAAGTGAAGAAACCGGGATTTGAAGAAACCAAATTTTTCACAGCGACAAACGTGACGAGTTTTCCGAATAATTGATTTTGAACTTTCACTTTTTTTACAAACTTCTTTTTGGGTATTTCGCCTCAAAATTTTTCGTCTTTAAAAAAGACAGATTTTCCTCAAGTCGCTTACTACAGATTGATAAATAGTGCTCCTATTTCGCAATAAGAACGAATTGTTTATCAAAAAGTAATCACGAACTATCACCTACAGGGTAGCCTGCAACATGAACGGGGATGTTGAAAATGTGTTAATTACAAAGGAACTAGAGTGCATTTAAGCGCGTGGATAAATCAACATTTTTACATGCAAATCTAGGCCTGGGTAACACTGTGTTGAGTTGCGCCTTTGAGTTGTTGAGCGATGAGGGTGACGAGTTTTCCAAATATTGATTATTTGCGTTTGCTTTCGTTGGTCGTTTTTCGAGGAAACCTAAATTTTGTCGAAGAAAAACAAGATAGCTTTGTTTGGGTTTTGTTCCAAATTCTAAGGTGAAATGGGCATTCGAAAAAGTCTTTCTTGTAACTTTTCTTCAACCTTTCTTGTAAATCCCTCTTTTGAGTTTTTTGCATAAAAGACTCTCACTTTGCCAGTATTTCACAGTAAAACGTTAGGAAAAATCGCGCTGTTCTGTTCAGAGAGAGTTTTGTTCACAAATATTGACCTAAAAGTGAAGAAACCGTGATTTAAAGACACCAAATTTTTCACAGCGACAAACGTGACGAATTTTCCGAATAATTCATTTTAAACTTTCACTTTTTTTACAAACTTCTTTTTAGGTATTTCGCCTCAAAAATTTTTGTCTTTAAAAAAGACAGA